CCCCCCCCCCCCCCTGCCACTCTGCATCATACAGCCAAGAGAAGCCAGCTTGCGAAGGTGCTGAGTTGGTGGTACTTCCACGCATTTCTTTTCAATGAGGATAGCACACACAGACACCAGCTGCTGCTCTGCCTTGCACAGCCTAGGGAAGCTGTGCACGAAGGCGAAACCGCAGGCGAAGGTGCTGAGTTGGTTCCTGCTCCACCCATTTCTTTTTATCCATCACCACACACACCGAGACACCAGGCTGAATGAAAAGAAACACATGGAGCAGGGACCAACTTACTGCCTTTGTGCATGGCTTCCCTAGGGTGTGCAGTGCAGAGCGGCAGCTGGGGAGGTTATGCTGTGAACTGGCACTAGCCAGACAGAGCGCTGCTACTGCCTTCTCTTATAGACTAATTGACTAGTCGATAGACAATCTGTTGACTAATCGATTAGGAAAGTAATTGCATTTTAGCATCCATAACTGGGTTAGACTAGTTGTTTGTCTAGCCCAGTGTCCTGTTTCCCGACACTGTCCAATGCCAGGTGCCTCAGGGAATGATCAGAACAGGTAGTCATAAAGTGATCCATCCCCTGTTGTCCACTCCCAGCTTCTGGCAAGCTGGCTAGGGACTCTTCAGGGTGCATGGTTTTGAATCGGACCTAACCTCCATGAAATTATCTAGCTTCTCTTTAAACTCTGTTATAGTCCTAGCTTTCACAGCCTCCTTTGGCAAGGAGTTCCACAGGTTAATTGTTTGTTTGTTTTTTAAATTTGCTGCCTACTAATTTTATTTCATGACCCATAATATTATGAGGTGTAAATAACACTTCCTTATTTACTTTTTCCACATCAGCTTTGATTTTATAGATTTTCTCTTATTTGAAACAAAAGAAAGGACTAACAAGATGGTTTATTAGGTGATGAACTTTCGTGGGCCAGACCCACTTCCTCAGATCAAATTCTGGAAGAGAATTGGCATGACTGACATTGGCATGTCAGTTTTATAATGTGTTCACTTTTTTTTTCTTTTTTTTTTCATTGTATTCCTTTGGTATATATGGTCATGCCAATTCTCTTCCAGAATTTGATCTGAGGAAGTGGGTCTGCTTTAAAAGTTTTTGTGATTGCAAAGTTCATGCAATATAAGTTTCGAGGATTGATTTTTCAAAACACATGGTTCAGTGCTGTTACCTATAACAAAAAATGCTAGCAGCTTGTCATCTTTGAACAATATTGCATTAACAAACTGTTGTGCAATGGAGGAGAAAATAATTGTTTGCTAAAGAAACAGAATGAAAGTTTTAGACTTCAAAAAGGATGGGTATAATTAACAAGAAAAAGTACTTAACATTTATCCTGATAGTGCCATTTCAAGATAAAATGTAGATGTGGTGGCATGGTGGATATATAACATTTAATGACTCTACTTTAAATGATTTTTAATTTATCATCTTGTACAGCTTGCTCTCTCCAGTGATAAGATCTCCATGTTGCAAATGCCACTTCTTAACCTTGATCTGGATGTGAAAGAAAATGGTGAAATTAAGCCAGTCTCTATAGAAATGAATAAGGAGGAACTGCAGAACCTAATAAATGCACTGGAAGTAGCTAATAAGGTATTTCTTACTGGCTTTTTATTACATCTTTTCATAATTAGGTACTAATTCATTTTTAGTACTAAAATCATTTTTACACTACAGTTTTCCTGTTCTTTAGTGTTTTGCCAACACCATATAGGAAATGACGTGGTAGTGGAATATGCTTCTGTGTAACTAGCGGTTATTACTATGTCTGTTTGTTTATCTTTAACAGGCTTAATTTCTCTGGTAGTTTTATAAAAATCATATTTCCTTTAATAAACAGTTTACATCTTTTTGTCACGAGCACTAGATGACTTGGATCAAACTTTCTTCCTCTGCTACTCTACCCCTACTTTGAGCTCTTTGGCCTGGGCCCAAAATTTTGTACGCTCCTTTTATATTGTTTCGTTTCATAGTGTTTGATTACCATCGTTACCTGTCTGGTTCTGTATAGCAAGACTGAATCCTTGATGTTGCTACCTAGCAAAATGTTCTTGATGCTGTGTGTTAGAGCAAGTTCC